AGAGCCATACGGCTCAAATCCAGCTTTGGGATGCTCTGTATCAGTAAAACTGCTTCTATGTTTGAATAGACATTAAAAAAAAAAAATCCGAGTTACTAAAACTTTATTTTTTCAAGCCCTTTTAAACTAATCTTCAGAGATCTAATCAGACTTTCTGTATCAATAAAGTAGGGAGATACATGCACGGAATCCAGGGTACATTTGCTTCTTAAGACAGCGTTCTTTGTTACTGTCTCTATGTTGCATTACGATATTTGCATAAGCAGGTTTGCAAAAACCTGGGAAGCCTGGCACGCTGATATTTAACATATTCAATGTGCATATTCTAATACTGAGATAGCAACCAGTTTCCAAATGAAATTTCTGATGAGAGGTTTAAACAGAATAAAACGGGCCGTAAGAGTTCAGCAGAATCCCCCTGGCTGGGCTAACGCAGGGTGCTGCAGGCTGGCGTTAGTATTGGGAATCTGTTAAGATTTCATGAATCTAAACCTACAGGATAAACTGCATACCGATTAATAATGTGCATTTTTGCACTACTTGCTGCTCTTTTAAAATGCATGCAGTTACAATAATTCTTTCATAAAGAGACACAGCATCACTCTAATGCCTTTACATTTAGAAGCCTGATTTTTGTCTGTAGGAATCTTCCCAGTTTTCTGCAGAAGGTCAGGCTTTCTTGCCAAGGATAAGAGAGGTTTACCATGTTTCTGGGTTCTTAATAATTTAAGCCCATGGGGTTGAAAACTAGTTTGGGCAATTTTTAAATGTTTTTTTAAGAGGGAAACCTGGGAGCAAGGTGGTTGTCACAGAACTGATCACCGAAGTACAAGGCAGAAAGAAATCCCAAGCTTAGGGCAGCCTTGCAAGCCTGAAGCCCAGAGTACGAGTCACTTCAGCGCCTTTTGCAGATCTCATTGAAGAACACGGGTTTTTAGTATTGACTTTGATGGATCCACACCTGATAAGCCTACACGGGCAGAATACTTCAGGCTAAATTCTGCCTGACCTTTCCCAGCCCCGTGCCTCCTGCGAGCTCTCTGAAAACAGCCATTTGAAGTCAGAGAAATCTGGGTCATTGATTTCAATAGAAACTCTGAATAAGGAGGAGATGCTCAGCTCCTGCACCTTCCACTCCTCCCTTCTGTTACAGCTCTGCCTGGGGATGGGCTGTTTTATTCCGCGTTCGTGGGTGCTTTTCCATCTCCAGCAAAACCAATGCCAACTTCCAAAATCAAACAGCCTGAGCATGTAAGAACAGCTATTTCTAACTGTCTTTCTGCAGCATGCAAGCCAAAAGTGAGAAAGGAAGAGGAATGGAGTAGAGAGGAATAAACGGGAGGATCAAGTTGCTTCTCCCGCTGGCACCAGCTGGGAGTTGTCCTTATTCAGGGGAAGGTCTGACTGCAAAACAGGCCAGCTACTCCCTTATTGCTTGTCTCAATCCAGTTTTGTCATCTGGCTGGCTACACCTACTGGGTCTAAACAGTTCGCCAAGGCACCCAGGGCACTCGGTGCCTGCAACGGGTTTGAGGGGCTGTTAATGCTTCAGAAGGTGAAGGTTGCTTTAAAAAGCACAGCAGAGTATTTGTTCCAGAAATGCAGTCATTGCTGAGAGTGACGCTTGCTGAGTTCAAACCAGGTCAGCTGCCCAGGCAAGTACATGTATTTGATCTACTGTCATGGTAAAGGCTGACTGTAAACTTTGGCAGAGAAAATTGTTAATCTTTCAACTCATAGCGTATAAAAAAATGACTAGTAATACCTATTTTTCTGAGAACTGGAATGCCTTTTGGAACCACCCGAGATTACTTAAGAGAAGTTCCTCTGCCATCACCCAAAAGCAGTTCCAAACCTGTCTCTCCCACACTCAATTAAACCTAAAAAAACAAAAAAAATTT